ACAACAATATGACGTGTATAAACTTAGCTATTTTATAAATAAAAACTAAGCTAAATTTATATAAAGATATAACAACTTTGTAAGTTGGCACTATCGAAAAAATAATCGGTATTAATTTTTGTGCAAATTACAAACGCCTTTAAAAAAATGGCGAAAATGACACATATTGAGTATATTTTGGGTCAATTTTGGTGCAAATTGACTACAGCCATTATAGTTAAATGCTGCTTCATAAAAAACGTGGGAATTATGCGAAACAAATAAATACATAAGTTATTTAAGTTATTGTGTTAAAATTAAAATAACTTTTTGGAACTTTTAAACTTTTAAAAAAAACTTTCAGATATTAAAGAAGTAAATGTTGTGTAGTTATGAATTAGAATTATTGTGATTATAGTATTGTGAGCACACTACAATACTAAGCGTGGTGCGTGCGATGCGAATTTTGGAAAGTTGGGCCATCTAACTTAAAATTAAGAATATTATCTGTGTTTGTATGCTGGATTTTTTACGATTTTAAATTTTAAACTTAGTTAAAATATAATTTAAAATTTAAAGCGATATAATTATATAAGCATTAAAATATAAAAAACACTTGTCAACTTTAAGTTTGACAATGGTAAATTCGATGYAATACTTAAACTAAAAACACAAGGTTCGTTCTTCTGAACGCAAATTCACTAGATTAAGCTTGGGTCGGAGAAATAAAAAAAGTGTACTGACATTTTTAAGATGCAATTTATTTTTCAGCTTTAAAATTATTGATTTCCAAAATAACTAGTATACAGCATTGTACTGATATATATACTTCTTATATTATATCAAACTAGTTTACTATACATACTATTCTACTATATCTACTATATGTATTCTACTTTGATATTTTATATTATTCTCTGAGCTATAATGTCGTAGGTATTTGACCAGCAGTTAAGACTTAATTCTTTTTATATTTAAGGTCTATGCATAACTTGCAATTCGTTTTACGGAAAAAAAGTAAATAAACTTACTATGTATTTAATTGATTAGGTATTTTTTACGTTTGAAAAAAAAAATGTTTGACTTTTTATTATACATAACCAACTCCACCTCTACGGCTTTTTCCGGCATAAGATAATTTAATAATATTCGTATTAATTATAATAAATTTAAAATGTACTACTATTACTCTGATATATAGTTATGTTAAATACAAATTATCTAAATAATAAATGCTGATAAAGCGTTTTGTACGTTTTTACTGGCATACGTAAACTGCGCCCAA